AACAGCTCGGAACTATTGAGACAAATCAGACACGTCAGGATTCAGTATGGAAGACGATTACAGACTGGCAATGAGAGAATCTCGGGGAACGAATTCTAGATTTTGCAGGCTTTCCTTCGTTAATATTCAGTCTGTCGTCGGTGAATATTCAGCAAACATCGTGTGAGGGGTAAAAGCAGAAAAGAGATTAATTGACGCGAAGATTCTGATAGTAAGGGTTGGAAAATCCGATTTTAAAGATCGGAAAAATTCAAGATTAGATGAATCGAATGGTAGAATCCGAATGGAAGAAACACGATGTCATGAAAGTTACCATTTTTCAGATCTTAAATCTGTTTAATCTTTTCAATTTTAAACATCTTTTAGGAGAGAATTAAATCAATTTTCTTTTACGCCCAATAGATATTATACTGATTCGTACAGCAAACAATTTAACCGTTGCATTCGAAAGTGAAATCATTCTCACCTCGTCAAGATATAATGCGATATTTCACGACGTAACGTTGTTTCTGCGATGTGACGTTGTAGATGAGATATCTTGCACGGTTTTTTCCAATTAAGACGTGAGACATGTCTCATTATGTGAATTAATTCGTGAAGTTTTATCCGACGAAGGAGAAACGTAGGATACGTAGGATGACACAACATGATATTTTCGAAATTTCTTTCGCATGGAATGACGTTCAGTTTTAACGAGATCAAACGATCTGTTCAGAAGTCGCATTGACCGACTCCAGAAATTTTTCAAAGTTCTCCAAAAACTAAGTCGCATATTTGTTGAGAATTGGATATTAAACTTGTGTAATAATAAAATTGAGAAATTAATAAATTCTTTTCATTCGTCCTTCCATCGCGTTGTAACGTGAAAACAGTTATGCAGACACATGGCGCACGCATAAACGTATTTATTCGACGTATCATCTCGTCCCGGAAACACTATCTACGTTTCTAGGGTTCATTTAGACGCGCATTTCGCGCGAAACCGAATTTCAACCACAAACAACCACTCAATCCCTTCTGCACTTGTCATTCACACGAAATGCACGAGAACCTCATTCATACCCGACATTTGTGAAATTCATTCACGCGGCTTGTGCAACTCATTGCGAGTTAACG